TATTGTTTATATTTTTTCTTGTTTTTCTTATGAATTGAGAAAACCGCAATAGTATTTGACTTTTAAAAAAGGCTTATTTGGTAGAAACATGCTGGCTGGTGTGGTGTTCATAGTTAATGTTAAGGGCGAAGGACAAGTGGGGTTCGTTAATGCATAAGTAGGATTCAATTCGGACTCTTATTGTTAGTCATCAAACATTATTATCATTAATCATTTTTGTGTAATAATTATAACATGATATACACAAGATTAGAGTTATGGCCTATGAATTTTGTAACTTGGAATCTACTGATGACAGTATACATATGTCAGAGCTAGTCTCAAGACACAAAATTACTGGAAGCTCCATGATATGCATGCAATGTGCCATTAAAACGCAGGTTGGTGTAAACCTAGGATACTAGTGGTGTTGATAAGATATCTAATTATATGGACTCATCAAACATATATTTTAATTTCCTCAACATACTACGTATCTCTTTAATAACACAGCTTGATCAACTGTGTGGTCTCACAATCATGCATACATATTATATTTGTAATTTTTATTTTCAGAATGGAGAATTCTTACAATCTACTTTTACTTGTGTTATGATGCTTAAATGTAGGAATCAATAAATAACTATATCTCGGAGCACCTTGAATCTCAAGTAACATCGGTTAACGACGCAATTGCAAATGTATGAAAAATCAACTTTGATATAAGCCCAAGATACATTTATCCTTTCTTTGAAAATTTTAAATTGTATTTCTTATTATGTAGACTGTTGGAGGAGATGGCAAGGGTCGATTTCGAGGCATGGGAACTGGAGTCTGCAAAACACAAATAAAATTGATGAACCCTGTCTTAAAAAAACATGCAACTATAATTGAAAGAAATTCTGAGTTGGAGAAGAGGCTTGAAAACGTGGAGAGCAAACTGGATGCGAACATGATTGAAATCAGAGCACTATTGGCTGCGAGAACATCAATACCTGATATTCCGTCACCATCGTCCCATGCTTCCAGGCACTCTGTTACAATAAGTTTACCCTTGCTTGGATCTGTTTTGCTAGACGTCAATTTCTGTGCATAATGACACTGGAGCCTATGACAGTTTATTCAATTATTCAATTACTTTTGGAACATCTTTTTCCACTTAAAACATAATTTATTCATTAATAAAATTTCAACGTTTCATCGAATCCGTTCTATCTGCAATAGGCCTTTAAAACTCCATGTGCACTTATAGAAGATGTATGTTTCAAATGGAAATATGCTTCATCTCTCGAATAAGTTGTCTGCTAAAAATCCTTGCAATTCTATTGCTAAGGAGGCTTAAAAGATATTTTCTCCTGGCTCATAGGTGGAATAAAATCATGATGTTAATGTAATACATATTTTCACAACATTCATGTGGTTAAGTGCTTGGGTTACCTGATACGAGGCATGCCTTGTAGTACCATTGTAACCAGTATAAATCTTTTTAAGAAGTTTAAAAGCAATCCACTTTAATCTTGCCTGGGTTGACGTTTAAAGTCTAAAAGTATAGCATTGGGGCCTCCTCATTATCTCATCTCCACTGTCAAACTGTGCTCCCTTCACATAAATTTGCATTGAAGCTATGATTTTGGTTTGTGATACAGTTGACTGTCGAATATTCATTTGGATTTACTATATATCTAGTCGCCGTTTTTTTTTCTTTCTTGTGAGCTGATCTGATTCGATCGAATTTCCGTTTTTCTTTTTATAGAAAGAAGAATATTCGATCCAATTTATGAATATGAGAATATCAGATGTTCTTTGTATCTATATGCAGTCTGTAAACTATTTTGTTGGGTTTTAGTTATTGCTAATCTGAATATGAGAATATCAGATTTTCCAGTTGATTCACTTGAATGTATTATGAATTACGTAGATGATCCAAGAGATCGGGTTGTTATGTCTTTGGTGTGTCAATTATGGTATGAAATTGATGCTCACACAAGAAAACACATTACAATAGCTGTGATTTTATTTTCTTTTTATATCTATATGCAGTCAAGAAACTGTTTTGTTGGGTGTTAGTTATACCACTACACCTGCTCATCTCAGGTTTAGATTTATTGTAGAGATAGGTGTTTGGAAGTCTTCAGGTCTGTCTTGTAAACTGTTTTGTTGGGTTTTAGTTATACCACTAAGTTTGGTTGGACTATGGAACACACTACAAAACTCGATAAGTTTAACTATTATAGGTAATTTCTTCAGTTACGCACAAAACCACTAATCATTTTAGGCACTCTGTGCACATTGTATGACTTGCAGGTGGACAATGTCAACATTGGTAAGGAATGTGATATGCGTGGTGGTTGTCGCTGGCCTCTATAAGTTGTTGCTAGGGGGATTGTACAAGATGTCGACCCCTTAACAGATTTAGGTAATAGGAAGCTAGAGGAAGGAAATTTCAAAGTTTATGTTAACGTCATCCATGAACCTAATGTTCAACTACCATTCCCGCATGATGATTATTTTACAACACTTGGTCATATTGGTTAAGGAAGTGTTATTTGGCCAAGGGAGTTGTTGGTGTTTAATTAATTCTACTGCTAGTACGTAGGTCTACAGTGTCGAATTTTTTGTAATCTGCAGTGTCGAATATGAAATTTTGGATTTTTTTGTAATCTACAGTGTCGATTTTGAATTACAAGTAGTATTCTACAATGTATTATTGAATTTGAAATGCTACAGTGTATTGAATCTGAAATTTTGCTACAGTGTATTGAATCTGAAATTTTGCTACAGTGTATTGAATCTGAATTTTTGTTACAGTGTATTGAATCTGAATT